CATTGCTGAGCATCGTCCGCATCGCGCTGCGGGGCTGAGCCACCAGAGAGCAGCAGATGCTGCGGAATGTGTCCCGGCTCCCGCAAAGCAGCTCCGAACCCCCCCCAGCATGGAGGGGGCTGTCGTATCCGGAGCCTGGGAGGGTGCACAGGGCTCCCTTCCCTGGGCCGGGCGATGCTGCTCTCACTGCCCTGGCATCCTGCTCCGGATGCCGTCGTCACCGCCGCCTCTCTCCATCAGGCCTATCTCTGGGATTCCTACCAGCGCGTGCAGCAGCAGCTCCTCAAGCGGCAGCCCTTGTCCGACACCCCCATGGTCCCCACTATCCACGCGGGGCACAGACCTCTCTCCAGGGCTCAGTCATCTCCTGCCACAGCGACCGTCTCCCTTCCTGCCCAGGACACGGCCTCCAAGACGCTCTCCCTGCCCGTGCAGGAGCAACCGGCCAAGCCACACTTCACAACAGGTATGTCCTGGTCCCCCTGGAGTGGCAGCAGGGACTGGGGACAAGAGCTGGAAGGGAGGTGGGGATGCCCAGGAGCAGCTTAGCACCAGTCTCGGTCACTTCCAGACCCATAAATGCTTGGCAGGGCTCTGGCTGGCTGCAAAAAGAGCAGAGCAAACTGTGAGGGTCCCCTTCTCCTTATCTAAGGTGGCTTTTCCATGCAAGACATGCCCATCTGGCCCCTTGGCTGCCATCCTGGTCCAGTGATGCTGCCAAGGTTCAGCCCTCTTAAATATCCAAGGCAGGATTTGCTTCGAGCATGTTGGGACGGAGGCTCCCATGGTTTGAGGGAGGTGTTTCAGTCAAACTAGATGGTTATGGACATTTAGGATCTTGGCCAGCCCCTGGAAATGAGCTGAATTAGGGTCAGCACCATCCAGGCCTGGGTGTCCGGTCCAGTCTCGGGGTGGCAGCTCATCCTTGTGCCGTGCAGGGCTGGTTTACGACTCGGTGATGCTCAAACACCAGTGCTCCTGCGGCGACAACAGCAACCACCCGGAGCACGCGGGCAGGATCCAGAGCATCTGGTCCCGCCTGCAGGAGAGAGGCCTGCGCAGCCGAGGTGAGCGCGAGCGGCAGGTGGGAGCCGGACGCCTGTCCGGGAGGAGGGTGCTGGTACGAGCTGATCTCATGTTAATGGTATGAGAGGGTATCCTGCTCCCACCTCCATCCCTTTTGCTCCCAGATCTTCTCAGCCTGTTTGCCACCGTTATCCAGAGGGTTTGGACTTGTCTGTTGCTGGCAGTGCCAAGTTGGAGCACGCTGGTCTGACCATCTCCACCTTCGGATGGCAGCAGGAGTCTGCTAGAGGGTAGATTTTGATTAGACATAAGGAAG